CCAAATGCTTAAACTACAGAAAGGGACTGGGAAAAAAAGACAAAGTTCAGCTCATTATTTAGAAAAAGAGGTAAAATATAGAGGTAAATATAGGAAAAAAAACAAAACAAAAATAATTACCAAAAGAAAGCATGGTTCCAATGACCTAGAGTAGCAACACTTATTTATTAACATTTCACAGAAAATTTAATGAAAATCATCAAATAAATAGATTTAACATCTCCAAACTACTTAAAATCCAGTGGAGCTCTATTTTTTAATGAACTCTTCATCGTAACAGTAACCTACTTTTTTGGTGTAAATAGCTGAATTACCTTCAGCTGTTTACCAGAGTCTAAAAATTAGACCAGATTCAGGTGTAACCAGGCCAACATCTAAACTAGTGGTTCTTAACCTGGGTTCGATCGAACCCCAGGGGTTCGGCGGAGGTAAAGACACACTGTGTAAAGTCGTGATGACGCGCCGCTTTGCCATCACTTGCTGCAGAGGATCACTTTACATTGCTGAGCCAATCAGAGCTGCGGAGGAGCACTGATTGAAGGAGCTCCACTCTCAGCATGGATTTGAACTTCAGCAAAACTTTTTTTTACTTAATTCTATAGCTTCTAAATCTGCTCCTTAGTCGCATCTTTTCGGGGTTAGTTCTGCCTCTAGTGGCGTGGGGGGTGGTAACACAACTAATATAATTACATAAGTAAATCAGAATACCGCAAAGTGTTTATTATTTATTATTAATTTTTCATTCTCTTAAGAATGTAGAGCTAATTAAATGATCTAAACAAGACCTTAAAGTGGTTCCAGTTTCTCTCGATGGCCAACCTGCTGAAACTGGGGCAAATTTTAAATACCTTGGGTCGTTCCTGGACAGTCAGCTCAACTTTGCTGAAAACACTGACTATATTTTGAAGAACTGTTCTCAGAGACTCTACCTTTTAAGAAGACTAGGTGATCTTGGGGTGACCCAAGATCTTGAATTTGGTGGGTAAAAAATTATATTTTATTTATCACTACAGAAGGGTTCAGTGAATGCACATATGAAACTGGTGGGTTCGGTACCTCAAAAAAGGTTAAGAACCACTGATCTAAACCATGCAGGACATCATCTGGACACCCGGATCTATATAATCCTTCAGTTTCCAGGTTAGCTTACAACCAGTTCTCATGCAACTGCAATCTGAAAATGCAATGAAGAGTTGCTCTGTTTTCTGTCTGTAGATCTTAATGTTAGGAATACAACCCTGGGTTCTTTGAAAAGCATGAAGCTGCAGAGTGATAAAAAGCTCCCTTCATTTTTGAGGAATCTTCTTCTTTGTGTCCTTTTATGTGAGGAGAGGCAAAATATCTTTGAGTAGCTCTCATTAGCTTTATTTATGATTCTCTGAGTTCAATTCAGGGTCATGGAAAACTGCAATTACTGCCTTTTTATAAGGGAGAATATTTATAATCTCTTTTATTAGGTAAACTGCAATACTTACATTCTGAATATGTACTTTAAGCTCTTGGCTGAAATTCAAAGATGTCAAATGGTAAAAGATTTCAAATGAACAATTTCCTCTTCAGAGGAGCCTTTACTAATTTACACATTACCAGTGAACCCGAATACGTGCCTGGCGTTCATATTTTTAGTTCATAAATGTCAGAGTGATATAACACTAGTTTATTATGTGTTAACTTAAAATTATTGCTTTGAAATGGAGAAAAAGTGATTATTCTAACACAAGGATGTGTTAACGAGGACAACCATGCCATCTTATAGGCCAGAAAATTAAATCTTATCTGCTTTATTTGTCACATGGGGCAAAAGTACTGTCCAGATTAATTTACTTTGTTTTGTTTTACTGTGCATTGATAAATTATTATCAAAGTCTGGGCTGTCCTATATTTTAGTACTTCTCTAATTAAAATGATATTTCTGTGGCTTTCTTACCTAGTTTAGATTCTCTCCCAATGATTTAATGAGCACAGTGCAATTACAATAGCTCAAGCAGTGACTAGAACTGTAAAAGAAGTTTGCTTTTCAAATACATTTATATGTACTTTAAATATTCATTTTAAACCGATAGGAATTGTAATGCATCATGGACGAGGCGCCTCATTAAAAGCACGTTTGGAAAGTTTTCCGATGTTTAGGGAAATAATAAAAAACTGAAGAAAACAACTTTAGTCCCTGTGCAGTTCATGTTAGATTTATTTTCATACAAAAACACAACATTACTATCAGAACGACACTGACAAGAAGGTAACATTTGCTCTTGAGAAAAACCATGACGGTCTTGTCAAAGTTTGCCAATTAAAAACATGAACCGATGAGCTGCAATATTTTTTATTTGAATTATTTAACTACATACGTCTCTCCAGGGAAAACCAACTTCTTAGCATGGAGGTGGATGTGTCATGGTTTGGTGATGCTTTGCTGCAGGAGGACCTGGCCAGCCTCACCACCAGACAAGCCACCTTAGTTTCTTCACAGTATTCCACTCCATAAGATCAGCAACATGTATATCTTAACATTTCCTTTGCAGGATCTGAATGTTTAATGGTGTGTCCTAATTTCTTTCACGACTGTGTGTATGCATGAGACAAAAATATGCTTTCTTCGTTATTAAGACGGCAAGATGACAGTTGAAGCACACTTCAGAAAGAGCTTTATGTGCCGCCGCAGCACAACTGAACTTTCTCTGCCAAACTTTATTTCAAGCCGTCAAACTGCCTCTCAAAATAAGTCACTTTAGCGGTGAATAAATCATTTAAAAAGTCAACTTTCTTCCCTTTTTCCTGAAGTGTGGTTGTCAAGTGTTTGATATTCCTCAGAATAAAGGTGATGGCTGGGCTTTAGGAAGACCTGCCACCTCTTCTCATTATCATTGAGATGACAGATAAATACTTGTACAGACAGCAGCCATTTCTCCTCTTTCCTTGTATCTTTTAATCTGTCTGCCGAGCTCCGCTGCTGCCATTCTCTCTCCGTCGCCGATTTCTCCTTTTATTTCTGTAATAATCAGATAGCTCAGACTGGCACGTGTCCCGCTAGGGATTATGGAGCATTCATTGTACCAGATATGCTATAGCTGAAGATCTTTAACTTCACACCACATCGTTTTATGAGGGTGTTTGCAACAGTTGCTGCTATTGTCTCTGTAACACCGTGTGAATATTGCTAATTTGAGTCTGGAAACTGAAAAATATGGAGGAATAGGTGAGATTTGTGGCTCATTTTGGGCTGGTTAAATCATAGCGTCAACAAACTAGACAAATGAGAAGATCAGTTGCTGAAGCACGCACACTTACGGGCAAATTAGGATCCCCACAAAACATGCATGTTTTTGTGTTGTGGATTACAGTATTCATAGAACAACACGAACTCAGATCAGAAAGGCTCTCGGCAAAACCTGAACCCAGGACCTTCCTGCTGCTAGGCAACTGACCACCATGCAGCTCACCATCCACTTATAAATTCATAAATTGTGAAGTTTTAAATGAAATGGTTACAGGAAACTTGTTTTAAATGATACATTTCCTGCTAAAATTCAGGATGCTAGCTCCCTCAAAGTTTGATGAAAAATGTGAAGACGTTTGCACTTGAATAATTTCCTTCATGTTCTACATCATAGTCCGTTCCACCCGTTGTTTGTAGACACCAAAATAAGAAAAGTGTGCCAGAAGGAGGAAAACAATGTTTGTGGATAAAGTAGAGGTCAATAACTTCTTAAAAAAAAAAAAAAAAAAAGAAACACTTTTTCTTTGGGCTAATTGACTTAATTAATGTTTTTTTTTTGTATTAAAATAAAAATAATAGATTCACAGCCCTTTTTTAGCAGCAATATTCACTAAGGGCTGTAAATAAACAATTTTGATTTTCTTTCAGTTTTTCCTTTTGCTGAAATCAATAAGGGCATTTAGATAATGCATGCTGAGTTAAGTAGAACAGCTAAGAAAATGAAATCATTCCCCTTTCTGTATGATCCATTCCACAATTTTACGACTTTGCATACTATCAAGAAATCAAACATGTTAACCAAAAATTATGAGTAAAAGGATGGGCTGTGCAGATGGGCTGCACAGTGGGCTGCAGTTGGTAGAGCTGTTGCCTTGCAGCAAGAAGGTTCTGGGTTTGATTCCCGGCCCCGGTATTTCTGCATGGAGTTTGCATGTTCTCCCGTGCATGCATGGGTTTTCTCCAGGTACTCCGGTTTCCTCTCACAGTCCAAAAACATGTCAGGTTAATCGGCCTCTCCAAATTGCCCCTAGGTGTGAGTGTGTGTGCATGGTTGTTTGTCTCTGTGTTGCCCTGTGACAGACTGGCGACCTGTCCAGGGTGTAGCCAGCTTCTCGCCCAGAACGATAGCTGGAGAGGCACCAGCAACCCTCCCGAACCCACTAAGGGACAAGGGTGTAAAGAAAATGGATGGATGGATGGATGGATACTCTGCAGATAAAAACACTACATAATATACTTAATTTGGATGTCAGTAGAACCTGTTGGCTCTGTGAATTTAATTTTTCAGTTTTATGTATATGATGCTGATTCACAACAAATGTAATTTTAATGCAATTTACAAAACAAATGATTAAATCTATTCGTATGAAGATGCATTTTACATTCTGTCCAATCAAAAAAAAAGAAAAAAAAAATCAACTACATGCGTTGTTGGCATTCACTGATTGGCAAAAAGATCCAATTGTAGAGATCAACATCTGGGGTTTGCCAATCATGGGTGGTCAAATAAAAAAAAGAGACAGATGTCATTAGCCAATCTCTCTGTGCATTTCTAATTATTTCAAAAAATTTTCCCATCTTCATTTTCCTTTAAAAGTCTTTTCATAATAGAGTAATTTATGCTTCATTTAAGTTCCTGCCTTAATTCTTTAATTCTGCAGAACATTTTTTATGTTATAAAATTTCAAAGAGCTTGTAAAAAAAAACAAAAAAACTTTCTGCTCCTCAACCTAAACTGATGATCACTGATCCTCACTCGCCTAACACGCTGCCGTTCTCACAGGGATGACGAACACGCTCTGATCATCCAGTACTGCCAGACGCTGGGCGGAGAGGGCTCCCCGTCCAGCCAGCCGCAGAGTCCTGCCCAGATACTACAGGCTGTGGAGAGGGAGGAGAGAGGCGAGCTGGAGCGGATCATCGCCCAACTGGAGGAGGAACAGAGGTGACTTTTAAGCACATCAAAAACAGGATGTTCTCATTTAAATTGATTTATCACGCCTGATTGTTCAGATTGAGGGAAAAAAAAATTCCGTCAAACTGTGCAAAAATCAAGTTTTGCAGATGCTGATATTTTACATGAAAATAAAAGTGAAGAGGCTTCATTTCCTTACACTGCGTTATTGTAGTCTGTTCACTGTTTGCTGCGTCGAGCAAAGGAGACTCCAGGTGCACACTTCCCGTAACTCCATTGGCGCTTGCACACAAAGTTTGATTTGTAAATTAAATGGACTTGGTAAGAACAATGACTGCAAAGTCTATTGTTGTGGAAATGCTTTTTTGCAGAGCCAGGAGCTCAACTGGAGTGATTTAACACTGATTACACACATACACCTTCTCTGTGGGAGAGCTGCGGGAGCTTTAGTGCCAGACTCATAAATGCCAACTTAAGTAAAGCACTGCAGCTTATGGTTCTCCACTGAGAAGGAAGGAAGGAAAGGAAGGATGGAGGTGAGAGATTTGGCGTGGCAGGTCCTTTTGCGTTACATCAGTAGGAATTAACTGAGGTAGCAGAAAGCAGAAGTAAACGTTAATGAAGGACTTTTGTGCCTCATCCCACTGTGACGGTTCAAACCAAGGCTGCCGAGCTTTTTATTTAATCTGTAATATTTATGAGTTAATGAAGACTAACAAGAATGGCGGGTGGTAATCTTGATTAGCCGATGAGAGTTATTCAGCCGTCCAGGTGTTCGTCATGGATTTATTCTAGCATTTTGCTTCCCCTCCAACTATCTCAGGGCCCTGCAGAGGGAGTACGAACAGCTAAGAGAACAGCATGGCCAACGAGGCGCCCCAGCTGCAACGCCCTGGGAGTCGGAGGGCCAGTCCGCTCTTCCTGACGAGGCTGATCTTCTGGCTGAAGCCAAGCTGCTGCGACAACACAAAGGCCGGCTGGAGGCGCGCATGCACATCCTGGAGGAACACAACAAGCAGCTGGAGTCGCAGCTCCACCGCCTGCGACAGCTACTGCACCAGGTTACTGAAGTCTTTCAACTCCTTTGAAAGATTTATCACCAAAATTCAAAAAGTAACATGTCAGGAGAAAAGCTACGTGTGACATTTGTATTCTCCTGACTTGCTCAAAATGCTTGAATCTGTGTATTCACAAACATATGGTGTATTATTTAGCTTCACAAGTATTGTGGGGGTTTTTTACATTCCTCCCAGAAATGTACTATTTGAGAACAATGCACTGCATTTATTTTTTCACTACATTTTAGTCACTTACTGACTGAGTGACATTTTGCTGCAAGAACAAGAATGGACTGCAGATGAATGGAGCAAATGTGTCGCCTCTGGTTAGTTATCTGTCTGGAAAATGATTTATCTGGACAAGAAAAAGTGAGAACTATTACTGTGAAGCATCAATGCAAATGTGAGGTTTCTACAAAATCCACAAAAACTTAAATATAAATCTCCTCTAAAAGAATCTTATTTCATCTGACAAAGCAAATTTTGTTGAAGATCACAGACTTCTCCTGTATAAAGAGTAGGCAAAAGTAAAACTGAGGTGTCATAAATAACATTCAAACTTTAATGCTTTTAAGAACTTAATTTAATCTGTGATCATCTTTCAAAAGCAGGTACTATCCAGTTAAGATTTATCTGCTCTTTAAATTTAAATATTACTAATTTCTCCAGAGAAATTCTTATTTTTGCTCCTATGAAGTCTCCTTTAACTCCACTCCTACATAACTATAATTAAAAGGTTATTTTCCCCTGTTAGCTGTATTTGCTATTAATTCATTAGGCTTTTTGGTGAGGAGCAGCAGGACAGTAATCACTGTTTAGAATCTCACAAACACCAGCAGATAGGAGCTTCTCAGAACAGCTCATTAATTTATTAGAGGAAGCAAAAAAAAAATTCAATAAAACAGTAGCATCTAATAATTTAATAATCCAAACTTGCCGTTGGTTTTCCACTTCCTTGCGACGTCTTTTTATTCTTGACCTGTTGTTTATAAAAACGAACAATAAGCTGATACATTAGATCTAAATCATATCGCCGCCTTCCTGCCTCCACCATTGATTCCCCCACCTTTCCATCAATACCCTACAGATTTGTTTTGGGTCTGCTGACCTAATGGCTCATGGAGGTTAGATTGGTTGTGCAAAGCAAAAAAATGGGCAGTGCTGCAGCTAACAGAAAAAACAAAACAAAAAAAACAATCCCAACTGAGAAAACAAGCGGCTAAATCGACTTCCTGATTGGTGCAAAGCCAGAAACAGGGTGGCACTAATGGTGGCACTATATGTTAAGGTGCAGGTCACTCAATCAGGTCCACGATCTCTGAGGAATGTTCCTTATTAGGGATTAAGGCAGTTCTAAAAGTCTATGTGGATCCCATACTAGCAAGCTGTACCTAATAAAGTGTCCAGTGAATGTGAAGCATAATTCATAGCAAGTCCTATTTCAAGGCACTTCCAATTGATATTCTGTTACATGGATTCCTATAAATTCAAAATTATATTGGTCCAGCTCATTCCAGTATAATCCAGCCACTCCATCATGTTCAGATCCAATTACATGGAGTTCACTTCAATCCTAATTTTAATTTGCTGCAGTCAAATTCATTTCTCAGGATCATATATCGCCAAATTGATTGAAAGGTTAACTAGAGAAGTCCAGACGATTGCATTGAGTCTTTGACCAGTTACAACAATGAACGTAAAAGATCACTTACATATGACTGAAATGCGGGTGAATCAATTTTGTTACAGAAACTGAATCAAAAGGATTTTCACTTTAATGGCGTCTTGAAATCTCCGAGCAGTTTCTGTATCAATCGATGACTTTTACTCTAAAATGTTCTGTGAATATGAATTGAGAGTATTTTTGCTGAGCGAAGGAGCAAAATTGACCCTTTTAAAGCATCAAAGTCTAGAATAAACTACTCTTAAACTTCACTAGGTAATATTAGCCGAGTGAAAATTAAACACTGATAATATCGAACATAATTTGTTACTCCAGGCCCTCAATAGATAAAAAAAAAAAAAAACATTACCAGTTTTAATCATCCACATTATTTCTTTTTCCCAACTGATTTGTAAGTTTTGTCACAAAAGCCAAAGATTTATTTACATTAAAACCATCTTGACTGTCATTGTCATGGCAACCACATTTCTTATGCACACCATGCCACCCTGCCGCTGTTGTTTAGCTTGCATAGGCAGCTTCTTACACTTTTTATGTGTGTGTCACGACTCCGTTGTAAATAAGTACAAGCAATAAAAACCAAAACAGTTCAAGTGAAGTAGATCAAACACTAGACAAAATCTGGCTTCGCTGCAAGAATTTTTCTGAAGGCTTGTTTGAATTTTTCAGCAGATTCTGAAGCGAAGCGATATCGACTCTGTCTCTGAAAGACAAATACAAACATAATGCAGCATGCACAGGTACCAGTGTAAACATATTGCATCCATCGTTTCACTACATATAAACCGGTATTGTTTGAAATTTGAGTCTCTGGAGACCTAGCAAGGTGTCGGTGTGTCATTGCTGAAATTTGATGCCAAGCTCAAGGGTGAATTTTGAAAAAGCCCGCCCGATTACGCGCATTAAATTTACACCCCCTTAGGACCGACCCAACCTCTGACCTCAGCTATTTTAAGACAAGCCTTAAGATAACAGTTGGACTCTGTGGCTGTTTCCAGGGCTGTCTGCTTCGCTCACCACGCTTAGGCGACAGCAAATAAAGAAGATGATGGTTATTAGAGATGAGGAAGGGAGTAAAAGTTTCTCTAGTTTCAGGCAGAAACCCCAAAGAAAATGTGAGTTTCTGATCTTTATAGGGGGAATGCTGTGCTTCAATCTTGGAAAAATTACTTTTTTAAAATTGATTTATCACCACCGATCCTTATCAGTGATGGCATAAATTATTAGCTATAATTTCACCATAGCTAATGGTGAAATTCTTCTATTAAAGGTGATTTTGTGAGTCTCCTACTGTAATCGCCCTGTTTAAAAAAAAGCAATTAAAAGTCAGCACAGTCTGTCTGATTGCGACAGGTTATCTGTGTTTACTGTCTGAGCTACTTTGTGCGCTTGGAGCAACAAATGTAACAACATTAATGGAGACTCATTAAACTTTTATGCTGTTTCTTTCAATGTGGGCACAATAACATTTGCTATATCTTTTGGCAGAGTTTCATAACTTTCATTTCAATCATTTATATTGGATTTTAGGAATTTGTCTGTCGCCCGCGAGGGGGGAAAAAAAAACCCAAAATCCTTTGAGGTCCTTGAATGAGTCACGCTGGAGCTTTTATTCTCAGTGGGAAACTTTTTAGCGGGGACTTTGAGAAATGTTTACGTAATTCAAAAGTCCTATAACGGCCTCATTGTGCCCTCCCACATGCTTACTCTTGCTCTCGCGTTTGCTGAGCAGGTTGTGTTTTGTTTAGATATCTGAATCTTTTTTTCCTTTTTCCTCCTCCTCTATCAGCCGGAGGCGGACTCGAGAGTAAACGGAGCATCATCCCCCACTGTGCAAGATAGAGGACCACTTATGGAAAACTCGGGTGAGACAGCTCAGCCTTGATGTATTGCATTTAAAACACAAACCACACACACACAGACAAATCTGAGCGTCTGTCTTAAATATGAGAATCTACCCCTGAAAATCGAACAGTCACTCGTAGCTCCGAAAGACTAGGTAGTGAAGTGTATCCTGTTGCTGTAAACACACCTCTTTGTGCCTGTGTGTGTCCAGAAGAGCTGCTTGCCCCCCACAACAGCAGCTCTGACCTGGCAGATGTAATGGAGCAGATTAACAACTCCTTTCCTGCATGCAGTCGTAAGTTTCCCAGTCCTCCTTCACCTCCCCCCACCCCACCAGCATCCGCATGTTTGTGTTTTGCCACGAGGAGTCAAAAGTCACCGTCTTTTTTTTTGTTTTTTTTTGTTGGACAGCTCCCTTTGTTTTTTTATTATTATTATTATTATTATTATTATTATTATTATTATGGCCGACTCCAATTAGCCATTCTCTAAAAACAAGTCAGCATATACTTAGTTGCTTCATGATTTATCTGGGTTTTTTTTTTTATATATATAACTCTCAATTACTGGTATGTTGTTTGACTAGTACAACGTTTACTAGTGTTTTCATAAATGATTAAATGTGTCCCGTAAATATTGGGAACGGCAAATCTTTTTTTTACGACATGATTGGATTTTCTGGATCTTATGGATTAGCTCATTCCCGCCTTTGAAATGCTGCAGGCCAAACACACTGCGGTTATATCGGCTCGAGCTCTTCACAGATTATCTGTCAGGCTGTTGCAGCTCTCAGCACGCATTCATGTTCAAACGTTGAACATGAAACGGCGCTCAGGACTCCCATCTTTTAAGAAAAGTTAAAGTTATACCAGGGGTCCATGGCTTTGCTCTGCTATGAGTCGGCTACCTGTAGAAAAATCCAACAGCATTTGATTTTGAGGCATTTATTCCTCTTTTTTTTTTTCCCCCCCCCCAAATAGACATAATCTACTGACCTAACATGTTATTGTCAAATTTTATCCACTATCACTGTAACATGAGAGCAAAATCTAACTAACCACTGAACAGACATGGGTTTTAAACTCCCACAGTCCTGATTTGGTGTGAATTTCTTATCGTCACATATCCTCAGAGAATAACTGCAAGATCTGGAGTCTATTTTACCATTAGTGAGATCTAAAATTAAACTCGTGTCCAGTTTTTGCTTTTAGAAAGTGTAATCCACAGTTGAAATGCAACTATTTGAGAGAAGTTTTAAGATTTTGAAAAGAAATGCTCCAGGGTTTGAGTGCGATTGCTGATGCACAACTGAACTTTTACCCTCTGTGGCTTTTCTGAGTGAGAGTTGGGAGGAGGATTTAGTTTAAAGTACCACACTCAGCTTTTTTGGTTCACTGTTGGCCAGAGCTGTGGTATTGTTGCAGCACTCGACCTTTGACCTATCGAGCTTCACTTCCCGATCTGGAGAAGATTCACTGCTCAATCCGTGATTAGTGTGACAAATTTGACCAGATTTACAGATGTTTTCTCAACACTCACTGAGTTTGTTTTTATCTAGATAAACGTGTTAGTTATTTTCCATATAATATTGATTATATAGCCAAACATACCAAAACTCTGCTATAAAGAGCAGAAATCTGTAAAAATGTTTTTTCACACAATCCTCCTGACTTGTTAGCATTTTCTATCCACTCCTCTCCACTGTGATGGTTCCTTCACTCACTCATTGCATCATAAACTCACTATCATCTGCCTGCATGCATGTTGTCAACTTTGATGTTTAAGTAGGCTGTGTTATGCTCCTTTTGAACGAATAGGCTGAAAAATAATCTTTTTGATGATATTCTGATTTATTATTCTGTACCCTAGTGATATAAAACCTTACGACCTTTAATTTCAAAGTGCATCTCTTGTCATCACTTAAGTACTTGGTGGGCTGTAATAAAGTCAAACCCTTGTTGCCCGATTTGAAACAATATTCACTTTTGTGGACGTTAATCAGAGCGATTATAAAAAAAATGCTCAAATATTGAATCGAAGCTCGCCACATTTAGATTGCATTCAGTTTTCGGAGCTGGAACCGAGATGAGGGCATTAGTTAAAAATCCATTCTAATCTCGCATGCGCTCCAGCGATATTAGGCTTCGGTTCCTGCTCCGCTCTGAGGCAGCTGGGGGAATGAGCTGGATGTGTGCATCAGAATGAGGAAGGCACCCGCGGGCTGATGATTTACCGCTAGACGAATGCAAACAGATGAACTGATGATTCTCAAAGCGTTAAACTGCTGTTTTGTTTTCTCTCCCGCAGCCTCAAGCCTCTCCTCAAGACCACAGGTGAGATGGTTTTCCTCCATCCCAACGCCAGAGCTGTAAATGAATCTGCATACCATTAGCAGCTTGCGCTTGGGTTTTTGTCCTATTGTCTGGTTTGTGTTTTAGTAATTAGTTAAGACGGGTGAAGGTGGAAAGGAGCACATTTTAGAAGTGATTACAGGTGCTGCCACTAAAGCCTTGCCCTCCTCAAAGCCTTCACTTCCTTGCATATCAGAAGGTTTGGGAGAAAAAGCCGACTAATGGATCTCTGGGGAGTTCCATTAGTCGGCCCCCTCATCCTTCCCGGTTCGAGGCCGGGGCGCGTTTTAAGACAGAAGCACAGTGAAAGCTTTTGCCACTGACCTCTTCCCACTGTAATTATTCACCCCTTGTCTTGAACTCTGCAGCATCCCAACTTTCTGACAGTTTCTTTTTAAGTTCTAATAAAGGTCCTACTGACAAATCAACCAAATAGCAGATCTAATTCATTCTGTCGCTCAGATTGCACCAGTAACTCATTCAGTTTTCAAAATTGTTCTTTTTCTTTTCTTTTTCTTTTTTTTTTTGCTTGGCCTGTTGAACAGGCTCAGGTAATTCAGATTTTTTTTTTTTTCTGCTGCTTGACAGAATGCACCATGCACTCAGCAACAGAGAGCCACATGCATGTGCATTAAAAGTGAGAGTACATTTCACTGTGACTCATAAACTCCCACCAGTCCCAATTTATAATGGGACAAAAACAAACCAGCACCATCTGTGGTTTTCCACTGGTGTCAGAAACAACAGAAGGTAAAGCCATTTGATGAATATCTTATTACACCTGCATCGTGATTATTATTTTTTTCCTACTTCAACACAGATTAAATATCCATTACAAAAGATATAAGAGAAAAGCACAAATATGGTCCTACTATTTGGCTTGATTGAATATCCCTATGCAGATGATGGTCAGATTCTACAGTTTGAATCTGATATTTACTCTCTCTTATTCCAAGTGCGTTAACAAGACACACTTTTAGATAGTTGAAAGCACCGAAATGGCCGATTGAAAAAGAGATTAAGAGCGGATTAATCGAAGCGATGAATACATGAATCACATTATTTTCTAATATAGTCCAACCCCATCTTTCATTTGATCTGTGTTGGACAACTAGAACTTAGACATTGTGCCTGGATATTTTCATATACTGGTTGGAAATCTGTGACATTTTGACCTCCTTACACACAAGATACTGTAGATACAGAATACGCATGGCCTTATCCATCCAACACCAGGTTAGTGGTCTGGTGTTTTATATTCATCACAGTTCAGCTTCATTGGTTAGTCTTACTGATATGACACCCACGCACCATGAATTTTTCATGTTCACACTTTTGTTAAACCTTATTCTTTTTGTCCTTGGACAGTTTCTTATGCAGTCTGTTGGCTTGTGCACAAACCAGTCATTTACAGGTTAAAGTCCAATTTCTAAGCTGGCAGTTGTGGTTTCACACACGCCCACCACCTCCACCGTACTGCGTTTCTAGTGGACGGTAACCGGATTTAGCCACTTACGTCCATTTTCCAGCTCTCAAACTTAGATTGCTGTCTTCCCCGACTATAATGTTCGGATGTGGGGAAACGTAGCAGTGCTCTCAGATTAACAAAAAACACCTTTTAGTTGGTTTACTCGTCTTCAGATGAACTCTGAAGACGAGCAAAGTTCAGTGTTGTAACGAGATCTGCTTCTCTCTCTCTCTTTTTTTTTTTTTTTTTTTCAAAATGATATATTAATGTTTTCTGTTTGTGTTTTTCAGGCCATGTGAAGACTAGCATCATTCCCAAACAAAAACAATTCCCTGCCCCAAAATCCCAAAGACGCACAGGAGCAGACAGCCGAACTAGTTTTACCATCTCGTCTTGTACTATGCAACTGTAGATTGTACCCGAACTTGATTGAACTCGTGTCAGTTTTATTTCTTTCTTTAGATTTCCAGATGTACTGTATAGGAAAAAATATGGTTTCTTACAAAAGATTGGTTTGGGATTTTGTGATCGGATTTTGCCTTCACTGGGAAATCAAACTGTTACATTTTGTGTCATTCCACTGCTGTGTAACATTTAGCTCCTTTGTATTTGTCACGAAAGTAGCATTTAAGGGGGCGGGAACGATTAAAGAAGACACTCGGTGGCTGACAGGATAATTTAGAAATTGTAAAGTCACTTTTAAAATCTTCCTGTAGCATGTTTGATGTCAAGTTCCCCTTTAAAAGTGTTAAAATGCCGGCAGACTTTGTCTCAACTCTACCCTTTCTGTGCCTATAAGAGTTTGTCATTCCAAGTGTGGAGCTGCTCTTGAATTATTCTGGGACTGTGCATAAAAAGATGGACAGAAAATATAGATTTTAATCTTGGTTTGTAAGAGGCCCGTCACCATTATGTAGAATAGTCTTTTGTTTTGGAGATATATATGTTAATAAATCAGAGTAAAGCCATGACTGCCTTGCTACCTCAGACTCGTAGACACAGTTTTGTTTTTGTGGTTGTTGAAAGCAGTTGTGATCACTTTTGAACATGGACAACCTGGTTTAGCGTTCTAAGCTTTTAGCTTTACTGTATTGGTGTACACTGCGATGAGGAGTAACCAAGTTTTAAATAATAATAATTAAAAAAAAAAAAGGAAACTGTGGGTGTGTGGCCCTCAGAAGCTCTAGTCCCCATGATGAGCATCATCCCTTCATCTGTTGTTGGGTTTTTCCTCACTGCGTCATGTCGTCGTGATCTATGCCGTTCTGTAAAACTTGTGAGACTGACCAACACTACTATAACCGCCTCCAGCTGTCAACTGGTGTTAGTGATGATTTTTAACGATTATAATCACGATGAATCTTATCATGGCAGAACTGTGTCGCTTCTCCTGAGGTATGTAAAATAGATCGACCACACTACATGTAATATGGCTACATTGTTTTATTCTAAATAAAATTTTTATAATAAACACCCTCTTCTGTGCAGTTTTTTTTGCTTGTTTTTCTCCTCCATTTTCTGTTAGCTGCCTGATCGTTGATTAATATTGTAAAACAAACAAAACAAGCTTTGCTGATAAATTTGGTTTTGGGGATATTTGTCTCATTATTGGCGTCTTCGCAGAAGACATCCAGCTGGAGTCATTAGTATTTATCAAGGGAATTGACCACGCCGGGGAGAGGGGTCCATCATTATTACATGTTTGCAGAGAGCCTGCCGAGCTGCACCTGAGAAAATGAATCATTCAGAATGAGTGATGAAAGAATAATTAGCCTTTTCACCTGGTACCATTTGAGTCGGTCTGGCTGTGGATCAGAGGTTATTTCGGCTGTCCTTCCCCATCCACCGCTCACTCTTCAGTGTTTGTCAGCAAGTCGCTTCCTCCAAGCTTGCAGCGCTGCTGGATCGGGCGGTGGGATTTCCTACGTAGTTAGGAAATGTGCGGGTATTTTCCAGCAGCGAGTATGAAGAGTTCAGAAAAATGCTGGTTTTCCAGACTTTATTGCCAGTGTCTGAATGATTCTTCAATCTATCAATATTCCTCTGGAAATATTGCCATATATTTATTTGGTATTTGGTTTTCTACTATTTTCTTTGCACCTTCTGCATCTCAGTTCTGTTTTTAGGAAGCATAGAATTGAAGAGACTTGATTTTTGTCCCTGGTTTTACTAGTAGGTGGGTATTGTCTTTAATCAGAATGAGATTGAATTTTTTTTAATTTTAGTTTCTATATCTATTGTTATACATGTATTTATTTTACTAATGTTATGAGTATTTAGTCATTCAATACTTTGGTTAGTGCTTGTTCTTATAGTGGCTTTTACAGGTTAAAGCCTTATTGTTGTAGAAACATATACTCCACAGAGATTTTTTTTTTTTTGCATTTGTGCTTTCAAAGGTTTGCTGATACAGAAGTCAGGGAATGCAGGCCTGGAAAGTACCATTTTGACATGAAGAATGCGTAGAAACAAAGCAAATTATGAAAACGGATATTGTGTTAATCAAAAATCTAAGAAGTTTAGAGCATGTTAAGCTCTTATAATAGTTTTACTTGTAAGGCGCTGACCAGCCATTAGCTGAAGTTTAGCAGAACAATTCTTTTTTTTGTTTATTTTTTTATTCCCCAAACCAATGTAGAGAGCTTTCTGCAACAGGTAGTATGCTGACTACAGTTAACTCCACAGAGCCCCGCATAGAAATATCCTCTCTAAAATCCAATACAGACTTGTGCTCCACCTTTTTTTTTTTTAATTTTTGCACGTTTCCTTTTCGCCTCCAGTCTGCTTAGGTGTGGTGCCTCCCGCCTACAGCTGTAAATCAAAATCTGACCTTGCCTCCTGTATTGCACTGTAAAATCAGACTCTGTAAGCAATCTGTCAGACCAAATAACACCTCCATGGGAAACTTTCTGCAAGGTAAACGGCTGCAATTATTACACTGTGTCAAATTCAAATAGGCTTCGACCTTGTCTAACTGCTTGTTCCTTGGTGTAGCGTTTTGTGTCTTTCAGGTTATACAACCCCATCATATCTATTCCTCAGAAGACGCAGTTACTTCTGCTATATCAATGAATTCCCGCTGCATCTCCCCCCCCCCCCCATATCCATTTGGGTGAGAAAAGTAATAAAAGTATTTCATATTCCTTTAGTGTCCTAGTTTCCACTATGGTCCAATAATTCGATAACGTGTTTTAATAATTCAGAAGTAGCCATGTGGTAATGCACCCTAATTGGATCTGGGGGAACTGCACGTACCCTGACTCCGTACAGACAAAGTGCTCACATCCTCAGGTCTCCCTGAGGTGCTTTAATTACTCTCTCTTCCAGCTCTGTGGGTACGCTGCAAAAATCTACTTGTATGCAGAGCAAAAAAATAAGTTTGAAAGTTGCAAAGCAAGAGTACGCAAGGGAGGGCAGGTATTTATCTCCCTGTCAGATGATATATTAATTAGAGCTGTACTCGTATATTAATATTAATGAGAAGATAACACGGAGTCAGAACTAGATGATTCTCTGCCTCAGCTTGTTAGGCTCACGTAGCACTTAGGACCAGATTGCATTAGAAAGGTGAACACAATACTTTAATCCAGCTCATCTCTAATTCTGTGAACTCGCACTCAAGTTCAAGTGAACGTCTTGCGTCTTTGCTCCGGTTGATACAGTCGAGGGTTAATAAAGGAAAAATTACAACGACAAGGGAACGGCTAACCTTATCTCGTAGGAAACCCAGACGTGTGTCCTTGTAGTCGAGGATCCTTGAATCGCCATTTGCATCCATCCATCCATTCATATCCATCCATCCATCCATCCATCCATCCATCCATCCATCCATTCTCGAAAACCTGTTCGGTTCTTCTCAGGGTCACCAGGGAGCCGTTTCCATCAATCACAGGCAGGAGGCGGGTCGCATCCTGAAGGTCAGCGGTCCTTCACAGGCCCACACAAAGAAGCAATGCGTTCATACACACAGCCACGGAGTTTTCATTTATCCATGATTTTTGTTTTTTTTGTACTGGGATATAAACATACTTTTTAAAAGCGAATCCTAGACTCTCTATGAAAAGAAAAAGACAAGAGAAGACGGCAATGAATGTGTGGTAATCTTCATAAGTTAAAAATTTTAAAAAAAAGTGCTCATCTAACGTTGAACTTATCTGCATGAGATGATGAAGAACACAAATAGTGCAAACTCAGAAACTAACTTCAGTATCTTCTACACACATCTCTGTGTGGTACAGCAGTATTTTCCGAAACATTTCTCTCTGTTCCCCCGAGCCAAGCTGCTGTGGACCTGCAGCTATATCACCCATACCACCATTTATGGTGCCAACGATAATGGTTTAAAAAACAAAAAACTAATCGCCAAGGCTCATTGTTCGCGCCTCTGTAACAACCTCTTTTACGGCTTTTGTGCACATCTTTACGAAGTCCAATTACTGTGGACTGCTCTTTAAGTGTGCTTTGAGATTTAAAGATGCTGAAAAAGTTTTTAAAACTCTTCTCTATGAGACTTGGTCTGTACAAATAATAATAATAAAAAACACCTCTGGAGTTTGGCCGGGCGCCCTCAGCCGTCCACCAATCAACAAAGCCATTTTGCTGGAATGAACGGTGCTGTTGCTGGTGGAGGAAGCTTACATTTTCATCCTCTCCACTCCGTATCCCTGTTTCTCATTCACACAGCAGCTCTGGCTGGCATGCAGATCCGCTCGACAGCTGTCTTCTTTGATCAGACGCTTGGCAGGCGGCGACAGACCTGGTGCTGACGGTGTGGATGTCTGTGCGCCCCTGGCACAAGGCAGGGATCCGTGGCAGATGTTAAGGCGGGACAGAGCTCTGTGGGATCTGTGGGAGATGCGTTACAGGCCTGACCCACCCCCCACACCTCGGGGAGTAAAATCCAGGCAGCATATATGGCCACAGATACAGATAATGAATATTAATCTTACGTCAGCAGCTGAATATCTGTTATGCTGACGCTGAGGTTCTTCATGTAAATGCTCCTCCAGCTTTTGCGAACTTGAGATCAGCTCATCTCCTAATGAATCTCCCAGCTTTAACAGTTCCTTTGCTGCGCTTATCTGCTGAAGTTGAACGTCCCCAGTGCGCTGCAGATATGCTGAGTGCACATGGCCTGCTAGCGCTGGCTGCACATTAGGTCTCCCTTTGACAATTAACGTTAAGTAGCTAACTGGATGCACGTTGGGACGCATTTTTTTTTTTTTTTGGAATATTTTTGGCTTACGTACTGAATCATCAGTTTCCCTTTGTGGACTTGAGAAAAGGGGAAAGAGAATAGATCAATATTTTTAAACTTCCAGAGGTAAAGAGATGTGGGAAAAAGTACCTGCCTTCTAACAGACTTCTTTCTTTTTTGTTTTATTTTGTTGTCAGATAAGTCAAACATTGGTTTTCTATATCTTTTCCTTCTTGATAAATTAAAAATATCATTGGAAAACCGCAATTTTTATTTTTTCAGGTTACCTTTGATTTTCTTTGTGAACAACATCCACAGAGAATGAAGGGCTGTAGCCATCACCAGGTGTTTTCATAGATCGTTTGCTCACTTATTTGC